AAAATGCAATTTATTCCTGTGATTTCAAAGCCGTATTTTTAGCATCATTACTCCAGTCACACGATCCTTCAGAAATCATTCTAATATTCTGATTTGCTGCTCAAAAACATGTATTATTATGTTGAAAACAAATGAGTAGAATTCGTTCAGGTTTCTTTGATGAATAGAAAGTTCAGAAGAACAGCATTTATCTGAAATAGAAATATTTTGTAACATTATAATCTTCTTGATCAATTTAAATCATCCTTGCTAAATAAAAGTATTAAAAATAAAATAAAATTGCAGCTCTAAATAAAATTTCTATAATTTCTTTCCCTCCAAAAAATTATACTGACACCAAGCTTTTGAATGGAATAGTGTATAATGTTATAAAAGCTTTTTATTTCAGATAAATGCTGATCTTTGGATCTTTCTATTCATCAAAGAATCCTGATTTTTTTTTTTAAATATTGATAATCAGCAAATTGGCATATTAGAATGATTTCTGAAGATTTAAAATAACTGTTTTCAAATAGAAAGCAGTTATTTTAAATAGTAAAAATAATACAAAATTTTACTGTTTTGCTGTACTTTGGATCAAATAAATGCAGGCTTGGTGAGCAGCAAGAACATGTTGCTGGAGACGGGCTTATTATTGAAAATGCAAACTGATTGTCTGCCAGCAGGAGGCGCTTTAAGAGTGATAAAATTAGCGGGTTCCCTGGTAACGGCTGTAATCAAAGCAGCTCCGCTCATGAACGCTACTTTATCAGATAAAATAAAAATGCCATCGAAACTTTTCTGAAGACAGTCAATTCCCTTCAGAGATACATTCATATAAAACACCCGCGACGTGTGCCAGCAACATGCTAATCATGCTAAAAACATGTTAGCAACATGGTTGTCATGCTAGAAACAGCCTAGCAACCACCCCAGGTACCCTAGCAATATGTTTTATATCTATTTTTCTGATAGACTGTATTGCCTTGAAAACATTCAAACTTTAATCTTTAAAACTATTTTAACATTCAAACTTCTTCAAACTGAAAACTTTCAGACTGCAAGCTTTTAAAACTTTTTCAAACTTTCTAGCTAGGCTTTTTCAAGCCAACTTAAAGTTTGTCTACAAACTTTACTCATCTAGTTTTATATTTTCTGTTGTATAATTGTATAATTCCTGGTGAATAACTACACTACCAATAATTCTGAAGGGAAATTATGCAAAACAAAGTAGCTGCCTCATAAATTATGCTGAATATGCTCAATTATGATAATAATTCTGAGGAAAAAAGTCAGAATTGCGAGATATAAACTCACAATTGTGTTTTTTTTCTCAAAATTGCGAATTTATATATCACAATTTGGAATTTAACACAGTTGCGTGTTATAAAGTAGGAATTGTGAGATATAAACTTACAATTGTACAAATATAATCAATTTTTTTCCCAAATAGTCGCAACAGTGAGTTTATGTCTGAGTTTAGTGTGATAATATTGAGAACTATTTTTAGAACTATATCTTTATTGTTATCTTTATAGTTATCGTGCTTGGTGTGAACGGGCCTATTAAAGAATAGCAGAGTCCACAGAAAAAAGGAATATAATATACAATTACCAGACCTCATAAAAACAGAATACATTTATAATACCAGCCTTAAATACATAAATATATAAATAAATAAATACAACTTTATTTTATATAGCACCTTTAAATGTGGTTTTCTCAAAGCACATTTGGTTTGAACAAAAATAAAAAATAAAAAATGCAAAATCTAAATAAATTAAAAATGTACAAATAAATTCATAATATCATAAAGTCATCATACTGGTTATTGGCTATAGCGTAAAACTAGATTTTGAAAATCTGAGTGGCGCTGGTCACCATGGTGATAAGAGTATTGTAGGTGGTTGCCAGGGTGTTGCTATGCAGTTGCTAAGGTGTTCTGAGTGTTTTTATTTTGTTGCTATGTGGTTGCTAAGGAGTTTTAGATGGCTGCCAGGTGGTTTTCCATTCTCATATCTCAATAATATTGTAGTCTCTCGACATGGCCTCCTTCGGTTTAAAACTGTGGGATTTCTCTGACCTGTTTAATCATGCACTAGGCAAAAATCATTCATAAATCATCCATGCACTAGGCAAAGTTCAGTCACTGTAAAGTAAGAGCAGAACTCTCCTCAACAAGCCACACCCTTTTAGGCATTATTCACATCTGTAACATAAACATGCATGATGAATTATGTGCTAGATACTGCCATTCCAACAGCATGTCTCAGCCTGATCTAACAGATAAAGGCACAAGACAGAGTTCAGCAGCATTACAATAAATCCTGCATTATGATGCACTAGACCAAAGCACAGGCCAGGCAGTGTGAAGGTGTCTGACGGGATTCATACCCTCAGGAGTGACTGATATACCCCTCTGCGTGATGGATAGCTGTCAGAGCCATCGAGAGCTCTCAGTTCAGCCCCAAGGGGAGCGGTTTGGGACTGTAATAGTGTCCTTAATTGCCACCAAAAACACTCTTTTCTCCAGGGCATTAGACAGATTGGGAATGTGAGCGAGTGTGTCAGGCTTAAAGGGGGGAAACACCTCGAGACATCGCCTGGAAGCGGAGCAGGTGAGCAGCTCCAGAAAATGGTCTATGGACCCTATTATCTCCTGAAACATCTCATCTTCTTCAAACAGCACTAATGGAGCGATGACTGGGTGAAGAATCTGACACAATCCAGTCATTGATCATTTAACTGACACTGGATGTAATGCTTATTGAATATGCTTTCACATCCTGAACAAAGAGCCCAATCTTCAAATACTACACTTCACTTTCTTAAATACTTACAGCCGCCATGTTTAATGTCTGACTACGCAAAACAAAGCTTTCTTTGAGCGTTTAATTCATAAAACATTTATAGAACTCGATTAAGAAGTCCAAACATTATTCAAATTGACTACAAATTGTGATTGTTCTGATAAAAATGCCAATTTATAACGCAATTTTAAAAAAAGCTCCAGGTTTGCTGTGCTTGTTTTAGAGCTGCACAATTTAGCCAAAAATTATATTATATTATATTATATTATTCTAAAACAATAATAATGGTTATTATCATCATTATTACTATTAATTAAAAAAATAAACAAAATAAGAGATTACTATTTTAATTCTTCACTGTAAATTTTTTTTTGTAATTATAATAACAAAAATAATTTTACACCAATACTAATATTTATGATTGTCGTAATTCATTTTTTTATGTTTTTATTCTGGCGGAAATATGCAGGAAGCCTTTAAAGCTTCTATTTTGTTGACAATAAGCACTTATTGCATTATCAAATGCATGTTATAAGTGACCCAAACTCACAAACAGATGCAGAGATAGAGTTCATGTGGAGCAGCATTTACAGTATTGTAAACCCAGCCGCTTTGAGACACTGAAAACATCAGATCATGAACTGCTCACGTGTAAAACAACACAGTGCCACGTTTCACTCTGAAACATGTAGTGCATATATCTAATCAAATTGCAGCCTTTGAAGTTTGTTTTTAAACTTGTGCAAAATAGAAAGGAAAGTTGCTAGTAAACTGGATGGAAACTTGGCTAATAACACAAAACCAAAAATAATTTGATTTTATTAGTTAATAAAACTATTCTAAACATTACTTCAATTCATAGGGGCTGGGAGAAAAGAATCTTGTCATGATGATTTTTTGACTTAAAATCTTGTTTTCAAGGCTACCAGCTAATGCTGTGGACAGGTGACTCACCTGGTGCTGTCCACCCCAGGTTTGATGTATCCTTCCACACAGCCCTCCCATACGCTGTTGGCCATGGCGTTCCCGATGGCCGTCATCACCATGCTGAGCTCCACAGGCCAGTCATCCAGGTCCAGAGACCGTACGCGGGACAGATGGGTGCCCAGGTTCCTGTGCATCCCGGAGCACTCGATACAGATCAGAGCGCCAAGGTTCAGACTGGCCCAGTCCGGATCTGAGAGACAATTACATTTCAGTTCTCCATACCAATATTACATTTGATGCAATTCAAACTCTGATATGCTAATTCGCGTGTGGTCTGATGGGTCATTCTCAGCAATTACTATTCCATAAACCATTAGTATTCCAAGTGTAAAAATGTGGAAGAAATTATCCAACAAAAAATAGAAAGAATTGTCTGAAAATTTGTTTATAATTTATTTAATTTCTACATATTTTTTAAATTATTTTTATTATTTTAAAATGTGTGAAACTACCCCAAAAAGTGTCTGAAAACGTATTTTTATTAAATTATTAAAGTTATTTAATATTAATTTTAAATTGTATGTTATTTTTTAATTATGTTTTATTATTTTAATGTGAGTAAAACTACTCAACAAAAATAGAACAATAATTTTCATTTAATTATTCCAATGAATTTTAATTTAAGTTTTTATTTTATTATTTTAATTACTTTAATATTATTTGTATTATTTTAATGTGGGTGAAACTACCCAACAAAAATAGGAAAAAATGTCTTAAAAGTTATTTTTTATTAAATTAAATTATCTAAGTTAATTTTATTATTTTTTATTATTTTATTTTTATTATTTTAAAGTGGGTGAAACTACCCAACAAAAAAATTATTAAAATGATTTTAATTTTATTTGACATTATTTTAATTATTTTAAAGTACTTTATCACATTATACCTCATGACACTATACAGCAAAGGAAAAGACAAACATATGATAAAATGTCTAATAAAATGAATCTAGCTTCATGTCCAGAAATGGGTGCCGTCACAATGTTTTACTCACTGGGGGCGTCACAGTCTGCACAGATGCTGTTTCCCCTCATGTTCCTGATGGACTGGATGACCACTGCATCACTCTGGCTTCCTAATCGAGACTATGTGGCATAATAATTCAGATATCACAGTTTGAAAAGAGCAGAAGGATACATAAGGCATATTAACCTATTTCCACAGTATCTAAATAAACATAATATCATCTTACCTTGTTCTTGCTGCTCTCACAGGACTGTAGACTGGCAAATATCTGGCTCTCAATGGCCTGAACCCAGAGTTCTCTCTCCTCATACGTGGACACCTCAAAGTGCCACATCTGACCCGTCAGGGACACAATGATGAACTCAAATGACTCCTCTTGCTCTGAAACACACCAAACGTGAGATGAGTTTGGACACAAAGTGATTGTTCAATTTGGTAAAGAGTATGTCTGATACTGACAGATTTAAAAATGAAAAAATATGACAAAATAATAATCAAATTATAAAAAAAAAAATGAATGAAATTGCAGATTAAAGAAACAAAAACATAAATGCCATTATTTCCAAGTTCGAGATCATCTTCACTAAAGGCTGAAAATACAAACATTTAAATGGCCAATATCCAAGGTGCATTATGGGTATCTGCGATTAGTGTCAGTTTCTGTTGTTCATCAGCATCGTAAAATCCAAGTGATTAAAAAGGTAAATACATCCATTAGAGTACTTATCTCATTACCAGTGAAGACTCATTATTATTGCAGCTGCCTAAATAGAATATAATGTGGGTTAATCATTCTGGTCACAGTAATTTCCACATCGCAAAAACACACGCGAGGTACTGCAACGTTTCTACCGAGCTCAAATGAGGGGCGAGAGGTGAAAAACAGACCATCATTTCTGCAATTTGCTCAGTATTCAGTTCAAAACCATGTTTACTTTTGATATGTACGGGACGATGATTACACACGTGAGTATTACGGACGATGAAGCTGCATGAGGCCATAATAGGTTCACAGACTCAATCACTGCAGTTGTTCTACAGAAAAAAAGGCTGTTTATTAGTATTAAAAACGCACAACATAACACCATTTATTGACGCCCACTGTAAATGATCATTAGCACATTACTGAGGTCTCATGTTTAGAGAAATTATCATGAATTATCAAGGTCATGTGCCAACCCCAGTTTTTTTTTTTTGGTAAATTTCTCCTCTACATTGTGAGATTTTTTTTTTTTTAAATATACATATATTTAACAGGGTTAGCTAGGATATTATAATATAATATAATACAATACAATACAATACAATACAATATTAATATAATATAATGATTATTAGCACATTAATAAGGTCCAATTTTTTCAATATTTACTTAACAGGGAAATAAAATAAAATAAAATATAATAATGATCATTAGCACACTATTTAGGTCTAATTTGTTAGAAAATTTATCGTGAATTATCAAGGAATTATGAAATAATATATAAAAATATAATAAAAAAGAATATGAATATGAATATAAACCTTTCACTAACTATTATAAACTATATAATATAAACTCATTTATATTCATATTATTCCTTTTATATTATTATTTAATGCATTTAATGCTGACTTTTTGGATTTTACAAATTAAAGCTACTTTATCATTTTTATCATGAACTATCAAGGAATTATGAAATAATATATAAAAATATAATAAAAAAGAATATGAATATAAACCTTTCACTAACTATTATAAACTATATAATATAAACTAATTTCTATTATTATTTAATGCATTTAATGCCAACTTTTTGGATTTTACAAATGAAAGCTACTTTATCATGTTTATTTGGAACTTAATGGATATAAAACCAAAGGATACGTTTATTCATAACAAATGAAGATTAATTGGTACATTGTAGAAACAAAACTTTAAAGTCTCTACCAGATGACACATTTCTGCCATCACTCTAATAAAAACTTCACACATAACTTTAAATTCAGATGAAATGTTGAGCGTGGTTTATCTTGAATGTAAAGCATATAAATCTGTATCTCCTCTCATCTCCGATCAATAATCTGCATATGATGACCCGAACACATGTATATCATTGGCAAAGACTCCCGTTCCCTTCAGCGGAGCGCATGGCCTCAAGCGAACGGCAACAATCCAATTAGTTTGACACCCTCCTCAATTATCCGATTTATTCACGGGACTTGACTCCAGGTCAGAGATCAATACAGAGCCAGCAGCTTTGTGTCTAAATCAAGGACTAAAGGGTGAAGGTGTGTCGCCCCAGTTGATCTCTCTGCTTTGTTTACATTTCATGCTTCTTTTTGCTGGAAATCAACCACAAATGTAAGACGGGATGCACAATACACATGGATAAATATGTTGCACAAAGGTCGATGGAACTACTTTAGTAGTATTTTCCAGAATGTGGTCAAAATAAGGGAACACATTTCATTTTTAGCAGAAATTAAAGCAAAAGTAAATATTTACTTTTGATTTTAGTAATAAGTAGATCGTGCAAATGGCACATATTTTGTATTTTAGTATCACAGAAGGGAATATATTGTATTTGGATAACATTTTGGCTGTCGTGATATAATTTCTCGCCTGCTATTATGAACAGCAACACAATTATCTGGCATTGCACTGTCCAGTGATTATACACCTCTGCATCTGAACACAGACAATTATTCTGTTGGCTGGCCATCTGATAAATTTGCCATTACAACAGGTAATTTCAATATGGAATTATTTAATTAAACATTTAAAGATAAATAAGCTATTAAAGTTTGTTTACATTGCAGTTTGTTACCCGCCACAGCTGATTTTTACCCACATTTGGTGGGTTGGCGGGTGTTAATTTCAAACCCTGTATATATATATATATATATACACACATATACACACGTTACAGTTTTTCACTAAAAGCAAATAAAAGTACAAAAGCCATTAAATCATTAACTCATTAGCTGAGTTTCCATTACCCTTCAAATTGCGTAAATTGAAATTGCGAATTGAAAATACGCCTAATAGAAACACGTTAATTTCGCAAAAACGCCCATATATCACAAAAAAGTTTTTACGCTCGCATGAGGTGGTTTTTCAGGCAATTTGAAACAGAAATATTTCGCTTTCTCACCGCTGTCAGTTTTTGATGTGTTTATTTTGTTATTGTGAGGAAAGCGCGCAGTATATATTTGCATATTCATCCAAACGCCGCTCAGCAGCCTTACCCCTGATTTACACTGCATACGTCTGCGGCGGGTTACGGCTCCGAAACGGCCACCGGAGCTGGTCGCGGCCACTCTAGTCAACGCTTGTGTTACCAGTCACGCCACGGCACGTCCCAGAAGCTGCTCTCCGCGCTGCTTCTGTCAAGATACACGCATACGCCTCCTTCGATTAAATATAATGGCTAGTGTAGCCAAAATCTGTCAAAATCCGTTGCCATGACTTATCGCGAGAGGAAAAAATGACGCTTTAGTTGCATAACATGGGTTAATGGAAATGCCGTCATTTCGCAATACTTTTTTATCGACATTTATAAAATATCGCCAAAGTTTTGCATAAATCTGTAATGGAAACGCGCCTATTGTGAAACTAGACATATACTACCAAAACCAGACAAAAGTTTGAACTCTTGACTGAATTTATAGTAGCATTATCTTAAAATGCATGTGATCCAAAGGCTTGTGATATTTAATTTGGTAAAAAATAAAATAAAATAAAAATACTTCAAATTTGTTTCTTTTTTTAACATTTTTAAAATTTTTAATTTGGAGGAAAAACATGTCAACAACTGTGTCAAAACTCTTTAAAAGAATCCCAGGATGCACTGCAGCTGGTTGAGTGAATGTCCAGAATAATCAGAATCTAGACAAAGCAGCTCAAATATAAGAGAGTTTTAATTTGTTTAACATTCGTTGGTTGTTCCCATACTTTCATAAGCATTATGTCACAGTACTGATGACTTTCTCTTATTCTAAAATAAGAAAAATGTCCCAAACATATGAGTGTAGTGAAGGTCTGAGAAAATAAAAGTGAAAATGCACTGCATTAAAGTAAAAAAGAAAGCATTTTATCTAAAAAAAAAACTACCCAAAGACTCTGAGGTTTGTTAATATAAAATGTGCAATAACACAAGCTCCCAATCAGCCACTGGTGCTCAGAAATTAGCAGTAATGAGACGGAGCAGCGCAGGTTCTGCCTGACTACATCCAGTTAAAATCCAATCTGAAAGACTGGAGGCAAAGAGGGCAGAAACAACTTACCTTAATTAATACGCTACAATAAAAGAAAGATAACAACATCTAAAAGCACAGTCTTTCTCTCCTCCTCTCCTCCTGGCCCTTGCAATCTTTCATTCATGTTTCTGTTCATACTGCAGTCACATTCAGACACACAAATTATTTCAGCTTATACGCTACTGTTCAAAAGCTTGGGGTTGGAAAGATTTTTTAAAAATTTTTGAACGCTCGGATCCTCACCAAGGCTTCATTTATTTGATTAATAATACAGTAAAAACAGTAATACTGCGAAATATTATTATAATTTAAAATTGCGGTTTTCTGTTTGAATATATTTTAAAATGTAATTTATTCCTCTGATGCACAGCTGAATTTTCAGCATCATTACTCCAGTCTTCAGTGTCTCATGATCCTTCAGAATTATTTCTAATATGCTGATTTGCTGCCCAAGAAACATTTCTTATTATTATCAATGTTGAAAACAGTTGTGCTGCTTAATATTTTTGTGGAAACCATGAAAAATTTCTTCAGGATTCTTTAATGAATAGAACGTTCAAAAGAACAGCATTTATTTGAAATAGAAATCTTTGCTGTCACTTTTGATCAATTTAATGCATCCTTGCTTAAAAACAGTATTAATTTCTTTCAAAAAAGAAGGGTGGGACTTGATTGCACCCATCAGGAATAAAGAATTTTATTCTTTTGAATAATACACTGTAAAAAATGACCGTGAATTTAACGGTAAAAGACTGTAAAAATGCTACAGTAAAAACCTGTTAAATGGTTAACGGTAAATTCCCCTACTATATACGGTGAAAAACTGTATTGGACATTACATGTATTGGACATTAATTTTACGGTAGTATACCATTTTTGGAAGTTAAGTTAAAACCGTAAAACCTAAAACATTGCTACCATATTTTTTACGATAAAATTCAGGCAACCACAGCTGCCGGTTTTTTACCGTAAATTTTACGGAATTTTTTTTACAGTGTATGTACTGAAATCACGCACAATAAGACCAGTAACCTTTATTGAAACACTAAACAGGGTCGATTTTGATCTTTAAGGTGAGATCTACTTCAGCAACATGAATACACAAAAAATTAAAGCAAATTAGCACAGAGAGTGAGAACGAAGGAGAGGAAAAGGAATTGCCAACATTTGCTCAAGTGCATCCCATCTAATGAAAGCAGATGATTCTAGTCCAAACGCCCTCTGGGTCAGACGCCTGCTCCAGTACCACATCTGGACCTGCCAGTGTGACCCGATTGCTATTCTGTCAGTGCATGCGGCCACGCGACCACAAATCCATCAAATCAGCCGCAAGGGGTTTAAGTCAAGGTGTGTGTGTGTGTGTTGCTTTACAAACTCCAATAGGTGACAATCTTGAATCTAACACATGTGCTCTAGTACACGAAACAGGTCTGGGCCTATAGAGATGTTAGTTGGTGTCTAAGAATTAACGGGCAGCTGGGAGGAACCAGACCTGCCTGTGCCATCTGTAAATGTCAGTGGCGGCGTTTGCTCATTTTACACATCATTAAAGGCAATATTCCTAACCTGTATTAGAGCAATCAGCACGCGCCCATTACTGACACAGGCCTGGGGGGATACGGGCCAAACACTGAGGAGGCGAGAACGCACTCACCGTCTCCATCAGACACACACACACACACACACAGTGTAAACAATAACACCCTTTACACACACACACACACGACACTTCAGACAATGAACTGAAAGTAAATGCAGACATAAACACTCCCCAACAATCATCTGATGTACATGAATTTACAAATATATACATGCAGTCGCCTTTATCTTCTTTAAAAGGTCTAACAGAGACACAGGGCTTCAAGGAAACAACACCACCGGTCCAAAAACACATGAAGCTTCATTTGCTGCTGCCTGAAACCGGGCAAGTGTATTTATCAGCCTGAAAGATCAAAACAAGTAATGCCACCTGGACATCATTATATCAGTATAAAAACTATATATACAGATTTCGAAGTAAAAAAAAAAAGATAGGACTAAATACTTTGTATTTAGGGCAAAGGTGAATCAAGAAGCTGATTAGGCCTTAATTTGTTATTATCAGAGATCGTTCAATATTGCTTTTTTATATACTGATTATTTATATGTTCAGATGTCTGATAATCGATAGGCAGAGCCAATATAAATTGTTTTAAATTGTTTATTGTTTTATTTTCTGCCACAATAATAACTAAATGTTCATTAGACTACAAAAATAAAAACATAATTAAAATAAATTGATAAAATATTTAACATTTTAATACATTAATACATTAGATAATTAAAATGTTAAAATGTAATAAGTTTAAATATATAAATGCCAAAAATAACAATAATAATTAGATTAGATGAATATATTTAATATTTAAATACATTAAAATGTAATAATAATTTTTTAATTTATATAAAAACAAACAATAATAATAATAATAATTAGATTAAATATTTTATATTTAAATATTATTAAAATTTTAATAATAATAATTTAATAATTACATTTAAATGTAATAGTAGTAATAGCTGTTACTAGTAGTGGTAATTTGTATATATTTAAAAATGCAATAATCATCAAAACTACTACTAGTAATAATACCTATTATTATATTTAAATGTAATTATTTAATTACTAAATTTTAATATATTTAAATATGTTAAGCTAGTGCTTATTTAAAACATTGAGTAATTATCCAAATGTACATAATTTGTAATCCACATTTTTAAAACTAAAACATTTTACAACACATTCAGTTCAGTCCAATTTAATATTACATTTTATTTTCTTTGCTATTTAAGAAGAAAAGCAAGTGTGTAATGAGTATGCAGCTTTATGTAAACTACATATAAAGAATAAATAGATTTGTAGAAACTGCATGTTTCCTATAGAAGACTACAGAAAGCCTAGATTAATCAAGCTCTGAAATTGCAGAGCAGATCTCTTTCCTGTACAGGAGAGAAGATAAAGGTATGGTCGCAAAGAAAGGCATTAAAGCTCCTGTCAGTCGACTCACTAGGTACCCTGGATCATCTTTTAAACACCTGAGATCATTATACCGCCGCACATTCAGCGGGAATGAAGGAGATGCTCCACTGAAGCTGTTCAAATGGAGACACTCTGCATGTACAGGAATTGCTTGAATCTGCTTGAATCAAAAGGACCGATTCAAAAGATTCAGCACTGAAATGAACTGATTAGCTAAAAAGTATCAGACATCTCAGCAAGCACACTTTTCCCTCTAACAATTCATTTAGTTGTCTAAGCATGTCTTAATTGTGAATGTTCACGTAAAACCATCAGCTGCCCGAGACCATTTGTGAATCAGCGCTGTAAAAATCTTCCAGACACTTCCCAGAGACGTTCGCTCATAAAGCCAAGCACGGAAAAGTTGCCTCACCTTCTTCGAGAGCAACAGCACATTTGATTTATGATGCTTCACAACAGCTAAAATTCGATTTCTGCCAGCATTCGCCGCTTTTGATTGCCCCGTAAATGAGATAAACTGATAGCAATTTATTCAAGGATCCAAGCACCCCCCTCCACCCCTCCCATCTCTCCCACTCCTCTGCCTTCAGCAGATACAACTTGCTCCATATGAGTGATTCTCATACTTAAGCAATATGTCTGTATTCTGCATGCACTCACCAGAACAGACAAGCACACACTAATAGAACCTTTCAGACTGCACAGAGGCAAAAAACGACGTTCATGATGGAAGTTCGTAGGAAATTGCGTCCGCACGCACATTCAGCCGCTGTTATTCTGCCAGATGACCAAGCCAAGCTTAAGAAAATCAGAGGTTAGCCCTCGTATTCTTGAGGAACTGTCTGCGTAATGAGACAGAACGAGCGCTAAGAACGTCTTTAACTCCAGCTGCAATGGTAAATGACCACGTTTGTGATCCCTTGAGCTTGTAATGTCATCCATACACATTTAAAATTAATAAAACAGTCACAATAGTGGCGCTGGATCATTTGAGGCGATTTCAGCTCATGTAAAAACACAATTAAACTTGATCCTGGTCGCAGCTAAAAACGGACGTGATCCAGAAGAGCATGATGAGGGGAAAAGCTATGAAAATGCTTTTTCAAACCATAAATGTTGACAGAATCTGTCTTTAGAGCACCTACAGACATGTATTTATCATTTAATGCTCGATTATGGTCTTTTTGTGACTTCAAAGATGTACACTGGCTCAATTTTTTTAGGAAGTGTCTGTGTCAACGTCATTGATGGACAGCGTCCATCTAGTTGATGGATTTGGCCTATTGGCAACAAAACAGCCTGAGGGAAGCGCTATTGTTTCCTCAATAACAACCAATTAGGAGACTGTATTTGTCATTGGGACGGGCAATAAAACTCAAGTGGTCTTCTCTGTTGCATGTGGCACAGAACAATGGATCAAATGGATCAAATCATTTACTAATTCAGAAAGAGATTAATTAATTTTATTAGCCACAGGCCAATTGGACCTTTTTTTTTTTTATTTGATAGCATTTTGTCACTAAAAGTGAAAGTGACGTGACATGTGGCCAAGTATGGTTACCCATCTCGAACTCGCAACCTTTGGGTTACGAGTCCAACTCTCTAACCATTAGGCCACGACTTCCCTAAGACAAGCCTACAACTGCTGAAACAGTTATTGATGCCCAAAAACTACTGGTGTTTGTGTTGATTTGTTACCAATGGGACAGTGAGATACAAGCGATATGGTACATGGTCATTTTTTGTACGAATAACACAAACTCGTACAGTTTTGCGTCCCTTTACCTTCATTCCCTGCAGAAAGGCCGTCTGGTTTGGTGATGCCTGTGCTCTTTTTCCGTCTGTGTTTCTTGCGGTTGGCATGAGGTGATGGTGGAGGCTCAAGTTTGGGACTGGTGGCGCTGCTCATGCCAGGGGCGGAGCTGAGAGGATCTGCCATCCCATTGGCTGAAGGAAGAAAAACAGACATGAAGTTAAACCAATACTAGAGTACCTGATTACCTGAAATTATTATTAACTATTATATATATATTAATATTTTACATTTTTATTTATTTACTGCATTTAATATTGTAACAATAAAAACACATCATACATTATTATTATATACACAAACATCATTCTGACTTAAACCAATACTAGAGTACCTGATTACCTGAAATCCTTACAGTCTAATGAGTCAAATTCTACAAACATTTTTACTACTTTTTTTTTTTAGATTTCTTATTTTATTAAACTTTATATAAACTATGTATTTTATTGCACATATTAAACAAATATAAAACAATAATAATAATACATATTTGTTTATAAATACTATTTTTGTAATTTTATACACTGTATATATACTGTATGTATATAGACTGTCATAGATATTTTTGAGCATCTAACCCCTAATCCTAACCACTTAAGAATATAAAACATGTAACAGCCAGATACATGTGCAGTCACAGATGTTTATTGCAAAAAATGGCCATAAAACAGTATAAAAGTATTACAAATTGTTGTATTCCAAGTCTTCTGAAGCCATGCTACATCTTTTATGAAGTGAGGAGAACAGAGCGAAACTTAATACAGTCACATCTGATTCAAAAGATAAATCCAAACTTTATCATGATGTAATTGGTCATGAGACACGCAAGAGCCAATCAGATTTCACAATCAAGGCTGATGTAGCACTTCTTCAGATGGCAGTTTTTGAATGTGTTTGTGATTTGAGCGTTATGTTGGATGGAGACGGGATTGCTTTTGGGTGTGTTTCTTGTAAAAATCAATTGTTTGGCCTAGAAAACTTGGAATATTTGTATTTTTTTAACCAATTAGTTGGTTTTGTTTTATATTGAGAATTGTGACTAGTTGGCTTTGTTTTATATTGAGAAACGCTTAGGGGTGGGGGTTAGGTTAGATACATTTACATTTATTCATTTAGTAGACGCTTTTATCCAAAGCGACTTACAATTGAAGAATACAATAAGCGATTCATCATAAAGAGGCAAATAAATGCAGGAAGTGCTTGCAATACAAAGCTTCAGGCATTGTTCAGAGTAGTACAAGCTAGACGGAGAGATTAAGGAAAGAGAAAGCAAAGTTAGTTTTTTTTGTTTTTTTAAGATGACGTCAGATAGTGACAAAAGAGATGAGTTTTCAGGTGTCGCTTGAAAATTGTCAGGGATTCAGCATTGCGGATAGGGGTGGGAAGTTCATTCCACCAGCCAGGAATGGTGAACGAGAATGTTCTG